GGCCCACCTACCTCGCCCACGAACTGAGCGCCGGACTATTGGCGTCCTTTTCGGCGCCCCTTTCAGGGGAGGTCTCTCTGGACTTGAGCGCCGCCTGTCTCGCACGCGACCTGAAGAAGAAGCAGAGGTAGACAGACAGACAGACAGACAGACAGACAGACATACAGACAGACAGACAGACAGACAGACAGACATACAGACAGACAGACAGACAGACAGACAGACAGACAGACAGACAGATGAGGCGAGTTTTGAGGGCATCAGCGAGAGAAGATGAATCCAACTCAATTACCATTGAGTGAAAAGGAATTGGGAAAGAGGGTAGGTTACTTTAGGAATAGCTGCTATCCTCATAAACCTTCAAAATAAAGATGTTAGGTATCAATAAAAGGCAATAATATGAAAGAATAAGAAAAAAATAACTATGCTTTCTCGTCTAAATCAAAATACTAGCTGCCAGCGGGACTCTAATAATCCCTTATTTGTCATAAAAGCCAACTGCCGAACTAATGGCTATTTCTAAATAAAAAAAAAAGCATTCTGATTTATGTAAAAAAATAAACAAAAATCAAAATATCTTTCTGGTGCTTCTACTTGCTGAGGCTGGCTTGATGGCCCGGCCCACCTGTAGGCGCTGATGTTGGCTTGGGACGGGGTGGCCGGGGCGTCCCTGTGAGACTCCCTGTGGGAGTCCCTGTGGGAGTCCCTGTCGCCTCGCTCGGGGGAGTTGTCCCTACTGGACCTCAGGGCGTGAATGGATCGTGCTCTAGACCTATAATGGGGCACGGGGCAGGACAAGAGAGATAGAGGGCGAATGAGAAGGTGAACAGACAGACGGACAGAAGGCAGTCGGACGGACGCATGCGTGGAGAGCCATGAGGGTGAGCGATGTCCATGGCGGTGATGACGATGGCGAGCATGCGGAGGGGCGACGCGGCGTGCGGGGGAGATGATGACTACAATATGAATGGCGCCCCCGTGCAGGTCAGCTTGGCCACGCTTTAGCCCAACATCTCTTCGCTCGGTCGGGCGCGGTTGGCAGCCATCCCCCCATTATCCCCCAGCCGTAGAGACTGACCTGGCCCAAGAGCTGAGCGCCGTGCCGTCACGCTCGCCGCCGCGCTCGGGCGAGCTGTCCTTGAGCGCGTGGGTGGAGCGCGAGCGCGCCAGCTCGGAGCCGGCGCCGGTGCCGTAGCCCCTGGACGCGAGGTAGGCCGAAGGGCTGGTCGTGGACGCGCTGTAGTCCTCGGCGTCGTCACCGTCCTCGCCGGCGCCCATGTTGTGGGAGCTGCGCGACCGGTTGAGCCGGGAGCGGCGCTCCTTGAGGGCCGCGTAACGGGAGCGCCCGCTGGGGTACCTGCATCACGAGGTGCCGTCAACATGGTGCTCGAGGCTGCGGGAGCCTGACTCCGAGCGTCCTGGTCTGCCTGGTCTCTTACCTGGTGGATTCGTCGGGCACGCTGGCCTTGCTGCGCGCCGAGTCGTCGTCGTCCACGGCCGCGGTGCTCTTGGACTTGTTGAGGAAGCGGGACGTGTACGACGACGGCGTGCTGGTGGTGGTGCTGGAGGCCGACGAGGCGGCGGCCGTGCCGTACCGCGACGTCGGGGCGGGCGCGTCCGACTCGTCCCGGCTAGTGCGCTGGGACCGGTACCCGGAGCCGCCGCTGTCGTCGCGGCTCAGCGGGGACCGGTACGACGAGGTGGTGGTGCTCTGCGTGCCGCTGCGGCTGAGACCTGCCACCAGGGCGCCCACGCCACCATGACCATGAGTCTCATGAGCTACCCCATACGAGGGCGCACGACGTGAGGTAACATTTGCGCTGTGGTGACAAATGTCCGTGT